CTTCTGATAAAGAATCCAGTTGAAATGACATTAAGCACTGAAACCTAGAAGCACAGCTGGGACCGAAACACTCCTCAAGTGTTATTAAACACATTAATAACAGCCAAGCACAGAAACTGACAGTTACTTCATTGAGCACAATGACAATAAAGATCTGTCTGTCTATCCACTACTTCACAGTTTGGTGGATCATTTTCATCAGTTCACCAAAGCAACAATTTAATTACGACTGAGAGTTTACACCCAAGCTGCCAGGTCTGTGGAGCTGTATTTGACATGATAACAGGCTCATAGTGACAATCATAATTTTACTATTTTAACTTTCTTAGTTTATATGCAGGATGAAAACTGCTCCACCCAGCTGAATCTTAGGTGTGGAAGCCTCTGTGTGTCCAAACCGATAGTAAAGCTTTAGATCCATGCAATATGTCACATTATCTAATAAGAATTCGGGCTGTATGACCTTCATCAGAGCATACAAAATGATGAATGTCTGATACTGAAAGCCTGCAAAATAAAGCATTGCATGATCTAGATCTAAGTGTGCAGAAAACGTTACTATTGACTTTCTTAGTTTGTATATATTTATAATTTAGCATGCTAATGACATTTGCTAAATAGCACTTAACACTATGTACAGCTGGGTCTGATGGGAACATCATTAATTTAAAGTATTTGGTCATGAAAGTGACATTTAATAATTTATAGTCCTTCGTCCTAAGCATAGTTTACTATTGTTCTTATATTTGTATATTTATATGTTTTTTATAATATCCATTTAGTGTTTTGTACGGTTTTATTATTCATACTGACATACAGATTACTACATTTTTTAACGTTTGTAGTGTGTATGGATGCCTGTTATTGCTGTATCTTTTGTATTATTTATATTGATTATAGCACCACTGGACCTGCGAGAAAGGAAATTTCGTTCTCTGTATGTTGAAATGACAATAATTGATTTTGACCTGAACATGAATCAGGGGGCTCTGTGGAGGTCAGAAACTCATAGAGAACCTTTCAGTAACCAGGTTACTCAGAGAAATTAGGTTACGCAGGTGATCAGGCAACACGTTTACATGAGCCACGTTCTCATCCAAAGTATCTAGAACTTTTAGTCTCAGGAACTGCTCATTAAGGAACTAAAAGGTTCCTTCAGTCCGTTGTCGTCTGTGTTTCCACCACGGCCTAAAGACCTGTGAAGATTAGGCAAATTAGCCCGCTGACATATAGAGAAGCAATGGCTGTTTTAACATGTTTGCATGCGACGATACAACAGCGATGGCGCCAAATAGAGCGACCAACGGACATCATTATTCGTGAAATGCAACAACAGTAGGCATGGTGGCGATTCAGGTCATGCTGGTGTTGATTAGGATTTACTGATCTGCAAATGGGCTCACTGAGTCAACGCTGGAAAAGAAACGAGCAGTAGTAATAAAAAGCTGATTCGAAATGCTTAAAGATGAAAGACTTAAACTTCAGTTTGAATAAACAGTTTGTATGAGCTATTGCGTAGATTTAATGGTAATACTGACATTTTAGGGTCTGGTAAATGGGAAACAAAGTGGCTTGGAGCGAGTCACCCAACACAACAGGTGGCATTCTTGTTCCCAGGTCATTAAATACAGATGCCTTGGGTTGCCAAACCAACCAAGCAACCAAGTCGGTATTTGACAAACTGGAAATGAGACTCAGCAATCAACTATCTATCTCCTGAATGACGGACTCCTCCTTTGACTGCATTAGTCATAGAGGACGCTGCTACCTGTTACTTTTTTTGGGCGTGTTAAAGCACACTGATGGCGCAGGAAAAATGCACCTGTGGAAATCCGGTTTCACTAGTCCCTGATACTGATTACCAGTTTCTGGTTTACATGACGTGTAAGAAATCAGCTGGTAAAAAAATGTCTGGTAAACTGACAAGTCACATGCTAAAACCAGCGTGTGAACCTGGAGCGCTTTATCTTTATGTCTCCTGTTGTTGTTTCAGATTATCTGCTGCACATGTTAACGGCAAAAAAATAGTTTGACCCACATCTGCCGCGTTGACCTTTGTTTTTTTTGTCAATCATTTACCTTCTCATTCCACTGAACAGCTCCTTGTTCCTGCGGAGTCACATGTTTGACCATTGAGAAAACATCCTCAGCGCGTTCAGTATTTAAAAGGAAGGTTGAACTGGAGGTATGTTAGGTATGATTGTTCAGTGTTTCACACTGGTAGCTGTGGTTATTTTCTGAAATATTGTGTTTAAGACTCGTCCAGCCAAGAACATAACTCGACCTCGCCATGAAATGTGACTCCTATCAATAATAAATGTGAAACCATGCTATGATCTTATCAATATTACTTATTCGCCTTATTCTTTTAGTTCAATATCTCTAAAAATAATGACTAAATACCTGCCTCACCTGCATTTGTTGTTAATGCATTACATAAAGGATCACTAATGTTCACCTATGCCCCTTCAATCCTTAGCATTATGACCAACCTCTGATGGGGGACAGTAGTGTGAGTGTGGTGTACTAGCCTTCCATCCCGCTGTTAGACAGCATCCCAGCTGCCTCTGAAGCCTGGGGCGCACTCCCCTGAGGCTGTGAAGCTGTGAAGTCTTTGAGAAGATGATCCACAGTGAGAGGGACCGGGGTCCTGGTGAGGCCCATGCTGTTGGGAAGGGCTCTGTGAGGCATGAAGTTTTTCAGGGCAACCGGACCGACTCCTGCTGCCGTTTACTTGCAATGCATTTTTAACACTGTGGTATTTTAATCAACTTAAGGATCTGAGTATTACTTCCACCACTGATGATAACAGCAAGTACATGAGACATTCCAACGTTAGCATGTCAATGTTTATCATTAAGTTTCAAATATAGTCTAGTAAAGAAGTTTAATACAGCTAAAATTTAAAGAGCAAAGGAGAATGATAAAGTCCATCTACTGGTGAACGTTGAGCCAAGTCTGACAGTGTAGAGCTGTAAAGTCAGAAACGGCCTGTTAAGTCCACCACAAGTTTGTTCTTTCCTTTGTTGCTTTTTGTTCTCTCCATTTTTATCTTTTCAACATTGTCTGGAGTTTATGTGTGATAATCAATACAGGCTCATGAGGCTGCTAGCCTAATATGTTTGTAGTTTGCAGCACTTAAAGGGCCAATGTGTAGGATTTAGTGGCATCTAGTGATGAAGTTTCAAATTGCTGAAAGCGCTCGCGTCTGTATTTGATGATTTGGAAACAATCAGTGTTTGGTTTGTCTGTTCTGGGCTACTGTAGGAACATTGCAGTATGATGGCAGACTCCATGGAAGGCAACCTGTGGTGTTTGAAGATAAAAAACGGCTCATTCTGAGTTAATAAAAACACGATTCATGTATTCAGGTTATTATACATTAATGAAAACTAATTAATATTACCGTATATGCCATTTCTGCCAATAGATCCTCCTAAATGTTACACATTGGACCTTCAAAAACTATGAAGACTGTTGAACAGCAGGTTTCCCATCAGTGAAATGTTTCTCAAATCTTCAGTCTGAACACATACAACACATTAAGACTGCAGGCACCCTTGAGTGTTTATGATCCTTAAAACATCATAATGTAAGATTAATATTGTTATTGTGGCATGAAGACCTTGTACTTGTCCAAAATAAATTCAGGTCTGAGGAGTTATATTATTTTCTCAAGGAGGAACATTTAACCCTTCAAATGTGAACTGTTGAAGCATGACAGTAATCAAAACTCTGCTTTAATGGGTTTCACTTCACATCATGTACTTAACGACATTATGAATCATTTATTTAATTTTGGTTCTCATCGGATGACACACGGCTTAACAAGATGAGGAGCTGTCATCTACAAGCTGTAAGTTTTCATGGACTGAGTCACGCTGCCTCTCGGTCATAGTAACCTGCAGACCTGACAGCATGCCGTGAAAACACTGTAACTGCCAGATTGACGTCTCAGCGGAAAGAGCTTCCTGTTCGACCAGTTGTGAAACATCGCCCCACCAAAAAAACAAAAAACACAAGGTCAGCCAGCTATAGAGGCCTATAGATTATCTGTGTTTGTGTTTGCATTGACATGCTCAGTCAGCAGAGACAGAGCTTGTTTTCCAAGTCTGTGCTTGTTATGTAGAGGCAGTGGTTTTTCAAACTGGGGTCCAGTTGGAGGATCCAGCAAAAGGAGGAATAGATTATTTTAACTTTTATCACCCTTTTTTGGAAGTGGGAACAACAAGAGAAGGAATAAATAACCTTTAAGACAAAATCCTCTCTAACTGGGGGTCCGTAGTCTAATGTGCATCTACTGTGGTGGTCTCTGAAATCAAAAAGTCTGGGAACCCTTGTGTTATGGGACGTCTTACAATGTAGATCCATCCATACTGTTTTTAGTGGGGTGAGATAATCCAACTTGTTTGAGTATAATATAATATTACATTTTATTCATAAGTGCCTTTCAAGTTGCCCAAAGACACTTCACAAAACCAGATAAGACAGGCACGAATAGAACAATGGTACTGAGTTTTCCAGATAAAAGAACAACATCAAAGAATTAAACATAATACATTCATAATAAATACATTACAAAGCACCAGGAAAGCAAATCTAAAGAGGTGGATTTTCACTTGAAAAGAAGCAACAGATGAGCCGTGGCGCAGACGCTGAGGGAGAGCATATTACAGGTTGGGAACGGCTACACTGAAGGCCTGTCACCCATTGTGCAGACCCTTAAGAGAGGGATGGAGAGTAGATAAGCATCAGTGGAACATAGTAAGCATTTAGTTAAGCCGTGGAGAGATAACAAGGAGTAGTACTTTAAAAGAAAGATAAATGGGAGCCAGTTCATTTGCTGAATGGGGAGGGATGACGTAACCACAGATTGGGTACATCAAGGAGAAGGGTAGTATATTTTGTGTACATAGGTTGAGTACATAATGTTCCAGTTATATTCCCATGGTCTTGTAATAAGAGATTATAATCTCAATGAGATTACAAGATTAAACATGTTCTTGTTTGGGTATACTACTTTATTACAGTAATACTGCAAGGAATGAAAAAAAAGTTTGAAACAAGAGACTTTATCTCATCACAGTTACAGACTGTTTTCCATTGTTTCTAGAGAAACACATTGAAAGAGTACTCCACCTATTTGACATTTCACTTCTGTAACACTGTTAGACGAACAGTAAAAAAAAGAAGAAATCTGAACCAGAGACTTAATCTTTTTTATTCCATGCATTCTGCTTCCTTGTCAAAACCTGACATTTACATTACCCACAATGCAACTTGACCACTGATAGTTAGGTAAGAGATTGATGTGTGTTGTGCTAGTAGCGACTAATGTAGCCTGGAGACTCCAGCCTGCAGCAGAGATCAGGAGCAGGATACAGAGGTCTGGTAAGGTCACTACTTTTCTAACTCCAGACCTCCAGATCTATAGTCTTCCACTGATGCCTGACTGACTCAAGTCACATAACTTGAGGCCATTTATCGGACTTTACACAGCTCCCCCTGGAAAGGCTATATACAACTGTTTTCACAAATCAGTCGCTCCAGGAAATTGAGATGTTTTGATCGCAACAATTAAAGCTAATTCAATCAATCTCTGTGAATTCTGCGCAACACGAATGTCTCACATGTACCCTGTCCAAAAAGTGCACTTTTATTCTCACTGGAACAAGTCGCCTCAAATTTTTTATTAATTATACAAATAAAAAAATCTCAAATATTTTATTAATATTTTTACATTTCATTAAAATTAGGCATTTTAGGCCACAACAATCCCACCAAAATCCTGTGAAATCCTTGAGGGACATTACATATAGTACTGCCCAACACCACCAAAAGGGTGGAATTCCCCTTTAAGACTAGATTAACCAATGGAAACTTAAATACGTAAATTATTTTTTAAAAGAAACCAACAAAACATAAAGGCATGCATGAATTCATACACAACAGTCCCATTTACATAACACATAAAGACAAGAATAACAGGCAGTCAGTGGTTATAAAGACAGTGTCCATACAACAAACCACCAACCAAGTCTTAGTTACTGTGAAAACAACTTCACGCTGATTAAAAAATTGTGCGTCATTACTAAACACTGTTGCACACATAGCCTACAGCATTAAGAATCTAGCCAATTCCAGTTTATCTGTACAAGTAGCACTAAAGTCAAATACCTCACATCTGCATTTAAATTCAAGGATGTGTGTCTAAATGGATACTAATCTTTGTCTAAGGGTGTGTAAGGGCTTAAAGGGACTGAAAGCATTCAGCTCAAATCCTTAAATGAACACAGAATGATGAGTACAACTGAAATCAGATCTTATCTTTACTTTCCTTGAGGGGAAGGTTTCTTCTTTAAGAACATTTTGACCTTGTATGACCGATTGTGTCTGTACATAGTTCTGTTTAAAGCGTCAGTGTCTTCTGATTGTAGGTTTAATGTATTTACCTTATTTGGCTGATATTGGGAAAAGACAGTTGAGTGATATGTGGTAGTGCGCTGTAATGTAGTGTAGTGTAGTGTTGTTGGAATTGGTTTTCAAATGAAGAAGCTTAAAAGTGTTGCGAAGAAAGTAATGAAAAACTTTCTCTCACAATCTGATCACAACGTGAGAAGAGAATTACCGGACTGCTTTTCAAAATGTCAGGGGGTCCTTCTAAATTCCCTCCGAAAATCCCCCAAGATCTCAGAAAAGCCTCAGTGTAAAAGTCAGCGAGTATCTACCAAACACCCAGTCAATGAATTCACCGAGCTTGTGCAGCTTTAGTGGGGGGGGGGGATATTACCCTGAATATTACCTGTTCTGCTCTGATGACTTCTCTGATCATACACTAAAGGTTTTCAGAAACAGCACACCAGATGAAATCAGTATATGCCAACGTTACATATTTCAGTTTATATACATGCTTGTGTGTATTATACATGCTTAAATGAACCTGTCACAGGTTGACATTAAGCCTAGTCCAAAGTCTGAATCATTGGCAGGAGGTGAACATATTGGTTCTGAGTCACAGAACAAACCTTCGTCCTTCTGTCCCACCTTCTGTCCTCGTCCTCCTCGCTCTGCACCTCCTCTTCTGCGGTGAGTAACGTGCGAAAAAGAAAAGTGTAACACGAGATGAGCTGAAGGCGCCTTCAGAAGCCGCTTTTTCTAAAGCCGAACTGACGTAGTTTGAACAGGGGGAGGAGGAAGACGAGGAGGCACTGCAAGGCTTTGTGCTCAATCTCGTCTTGGCATCTTCTCAGTCTCCTTTGATTCAGTAATTTCACTGCCTCAGTTCCTGCAGTCTTCGTCATCTCCTCCTCCTCTGCCTCAAATAAGCCAGAGCTTAAACAAGGAGGAGGAAGAGGAGGAGGAAGATTGCTTTAAGCCATCCCTTTGTTTTTTCATCCCTCCAGCTCCTACTCTTCTGCCCTGCATGGGGGGAGGTGAGATCAGACGAGCTGGAGCAGGAGGTCCTGGAAGGTGTCCAGACCCCGGCAGGAGTTCCTCAGGGCTCCGTCAGAGCCCAGCTGGGCAGCCAAGAGGAACAGCTTCCTGTCCTCGGTCACGGAGTCCAGAGACAAGGCTTCATGCAGCTCCGACACACTCACAGCATTGGGCTTATCCTGGGAACGGAGTAAAAACAGTTAAACTCAGTTTGACAACAAAAAGTCTGTCTCCTTGTTTCAAAGACCATAACCAATGCAACGTGCATATAGAGACACTGGCTCAAGTAGTTAGTGTTGTTTGACCTTGTAATGTATTTATGTCCATTGTCACACTGTTTCCCTGTAATGAAATGTGCTTAATAAATCAAATTGCCTTTTATTAAGAATTATATCAGCAATGACCATCTGCAAAATGACAGATATGAGATTTTCTTGTGTAAAAATGTATACAAATGTCCATAGAAAGGTATAGAAATGTAAATAAAAATATCTATTTAAACTTCTCCACTGTCCAACTCTATCAACCCTATACTCACATTTTCAGCATAGCCTACACTTTCAATTTGAGCTTAGGTGTTACATCTTTGTCGGAGGCAACTATGTTAGCTTATTACGGTTTCAACACGAGCGACTGACCCTGTTGTACTAGACAGAATCTGTGTATTCAGCTATGTTTTGGCACAATTCGGTTAAAATTACTGTTTGGCCAAAATACAGTTATCTGGGTAAATATAAGACAGAGAATCAGAATTGGAATCAGCTGCAACTAGTTAATTCATGCCGACAGTCCTCTGTGCAGAAGAAAGCTACACTTCGAGAGCCTTTCAAGCATACAAGTGGTTTAGTTTTGACTTTATCCCAAATAAATAAAAGCTACTTACAATTGCAGTATAAATAAAAAATCAACAGATGTTTTCCACCTCAAAAAGCTAACTTGACTTCCCCAAATTAACTTACATAATACTTCACTATGTGTCATTACAAATAACTACGTGTCATACTTTCAAACGTTGGTTGGCTCAGTTTTGATCAAACTCCTGCGTGTGAAGACAGTGGATTTAACGCCACCCTCCCACACAAACCATTCAACCCAGGCTAGAGTCTATAGATGTCCGCCTCGTTTCTTCGCACCACCACATCGGTTCTAACTCACAGGTTCTGCTGGAAACATCCTTTGTACTGTTTAAACAGAGCGAGCTGCTGAGGCAGAGAACAAAGCGATGGTGGGTGAGAGTCGGTATCACTGTCAAAAAGAGCTTCTCCTACTGAAGACATTATTTCTTTTATTACACCTGCGTCATGTGCACAGCATGACAACGGTTCAGGCCGTAGTTCAATAACAGTCAAAAGTTTGGAGCACTTTCATTATATTAGAGACGGTCCATTCCAGTTTTTTTCCAACGCAAACTATAGTTGTTGTAAGCTGAATGAAGGTTTTTGTCTTTCATACAGGCAACCATTGACTTTCATTCATTTCAGTGTGGAAGAAACTTGTTTGAGGTCGGTGGCCATTAAAGTAAACAGCACGTCTTCTTTTATTTTTTGGCAAAGTTACATTATTGTTATACATAATGGCAGTAGACTGCTTTAAAAACTACCTGATTCAAGTGTTTTTATTAGTACTTTAATCAACACCCATACCCATGGTGTACTCTGGGAAACAAAAGGACAGCACTCCAATTCAGTGATTAATTCCTGAGTAGATGTTTCGTGCAGAAGCCAAAATTGGAGTAGTGTCCTTATGATTTTTTATTTTTTAGCATCCATGTACACATAACACACTTGAGTCCAGTGATTTATTTTTATATGCTGAAACCACTCAGATAATACATTTCTCCACTGTCCAGCTCTATATCTCAATACACAGCTTCCATTTGCAGCTATAGGGAGTGACTGTTACATTTTTTTCCACTCGCAGCTACGCTAGCGTAGTTTGGTTATGAGTGTTTAACAAAGACATTTTGATATATATACAGATATATATATATATATATATATATATATATATATATATATATATATAATTGAGAACTGGAATTTCTTTCCAATATTATTTAAAAGACTATTTTAATGTGAAGCAGATCCAAATACATGATAAAGCACTCATCTAATTGATGTCAAAACAATGGTTTATGTAACATAGACATAAACATAGTCTAATTAACATTCATTATTCAGCCAAATTTAGCCCACTTTTAACCTAGATGCCTACACGTCTTTTGACTTGCAAATCACCGAAGATATGCGTACTGGGAACTATTTATGTTGAACATTTTGATGTATAACATCAAAGCTTACCTGTGTTAGTAACCTGAAAGAGAGATTTTTGTAGCCTCTTTCACATCAATAGTGAATAGGTTTAAAAGGGCGCATGTCTGTCTTTCCTTTCTATAATAGATATTCTGTTTGATGTTACAAGTTTCCTTATTAATTCTAAAGATGAAAGTAGGAAAAATCTGTTCAATATGCCTTCTGTTCCAGATGTTCTGACTATGGTACTGCAAAACTTGACTGCACCTGCTCTGTACAGACCATTGTGAGATTAAGCCTAACTGAAATGACTTAACAACGAGTGTACAGAGTTTTATATCAGATTCCTCCCTTGCTAATATGGCGAGTAGCGCAGAGTGCTGAGAGGATGAAAGCTGCAGCGCTCTGACAGCAGATGTGACAAATATTCCTGCTTCCCTCGAAGGGTCATGTATAATTCCACAAGGGCCGCGCAAAGTGAAGAAATATGAGCAGGGGAGGAAATGTGGAAATGTTTATTTCAGGAGTCTGATGGATCATCACTGCTGGATAAATGAAGAGGAAACAACGCAGACCTGCTCGCTCAGACACATCAGCTCTTTTTTGTGCACTTCTGCTTGAAATTTGAAAACTATTTTTTTACCAGAATATCAGTCTACCAGAGGGTGATGGCTTTTTAGGTGAGAACTAACTTTAAAGAAGAACTGACTATTAACGTCCTGTTTCCTTTTCTATTTTCACCAATATCGTCCTTTAATATTCACAGGAAGAGCTTGAAGGTTCATACCAGTATCTGTGTCAGTTTTATGTCATTAACCAGAGTCTACTGTATGTATACTTCCATTTTTGACTTTTTTATGTATTTTTTTTTTACTGTTAGCAGGCATTGGTTTCCATATGGTTTCAAAATCAATTGGCACACTCTGGAAACTTTAAAATTAGCCTGCATTGAACTGTGTAACTGACTTTGTAACTGAATTGATGCAGGCTGGCTGCCAATAATGGCAGAAAAATAATTTTAAAAATCATAAACAAATCTAAAACACCACAAGGTTTGCAAAATTCTTAATCACAGGTTTGTATTTAGGGCTTGGTTTTTATTAAATGAGCTAAAACATGCAAAAACCACTGCTTTGGACCTTTAAGAAGAGATAGACAGGACATCTGGGTTACCTGCTTGTTTCCCAGGACGACCACAGGAAGCTGGGGCTCCACCCTCAGCAGGCGGTGCAGTTCAGCCTTAGCCAATGGTAAGCGGCTCCTGTCCGAGGAGTCCACCACATACACCAGAACGTGAGTCCTTCTCAGGTAGTCCGACCAGTAGCGCCGCAGGTCCTCCGCTCCACCAACTGCAGCAGAGAAAACATAAACATATTTCTATATATATACTTTCAGGCTCATCAGGGTTTACCTATATTTCTATGGAGGTAAATAATTTCCAACAAATACAAATACCACCCAAGTATTCCATATACACGGTATTTCTCCAAGCCCATTCATCTATAAACATACATCTTCTGAGGTGCTTCTTGCGTAAATTAATGAAAGCTTTGCATATATTTTGTCATTTTTACTCTACATTCATTTAGAAACTGTAGACTTTGCAGACATACATCACTACACATATGTGGAGTGTTTGCATGCTGAGTTTTGAGACTGAACACAAGATGTGTTTCTGCGTCCAACTTTTCAGGGCAGTCATGACCAAGTGGAAGTTGGGTGAGATTTCTGCCTCAAAGAATTGTTTGTATAACTTAAATGAATACTCTCCAGAATACCCATTCAATTCCATCTTTGATAAAGTTCTGAAACGTTCAAACGTGTCCCACGGCCCTCTCCAGTGAATATAATACGCTCAGGTATTAAACTTTGTCAAATGGTTTTGTTATCACATGACAGAAGTTCCATATTTATGTTACATTTCGCCAAAGAAGACCATGGCATGTGGTTGAAAGTTTAGAATTTTTTATCACAAATATGTATTTCCAAGGTCAAGAATGAATCTCTGTGCACCCGTTTGGATTGTAGTTTTGCCAAAATAGTCCATTAATAGGTTAATTATGCTGCGTGAGGTAATTAGTTAAAACTGCCTTCACATTTTCAGATTTTTTTTCTACGTTTCAAAACAAATGTGTAAAATTACAAAAGCAGCTCTTAAATCGGTTGCTACAGAAGTTGCTCTACATGGTCTGATCTCGTATAATGTTGTTTGGAGAAAAATAAGCAACTTCAGTGATCACATATCAAGTCTTACCAGCCTGTTATGAAGTTTTTCGTCTCTGAACTGTGTCACAGCAGCTCTCAGCGGGAGTTTCCATAATATGGGTTTAATAATTACCCAGAATACCATATGGGTGTGCGCAAGCAGAAAAACTAGTGCATTCAGGAATAAACAAGATCTGTAATGTTCTTTTATTGATCTATAAAAAAAACCTGTCACTGCAAGATAAACACAGCCCTGACTCGTTGCCTTGATCAAGGGCTAACCTTTGTGTTACAGTAAAAGAAGGCTGCTTTCGAATAAATCTGACGGTTAAATAGATAAATGGACAGATCAATTTGTGGAATTAGATAAGCTGTTGGCATTCCTTCATTAAACAAATTGGCCACAGATTAAATTCAGATGTGCACCGGATCAAATGAAATTACTAATCTAGTTTTCAGTGAGGGATGAGATAGGCTAGGACGGCACTTAACTATTATTTATATCCACATTTTCCTGCTGGGGAAATTGGTCTGATTTATTTTTTACGTCTTGTTGCCTCCAGACATAATATGTCAGCGAGGCTCTGAGCAATATATGACATTTTTTCTTTTTGAGGGTTTAGGATTTATGTTTTATATACTTTTTTTTTTTTCTTCTCAACGTTTTCTCTCGCACTCTTGCAAGTGTATCTCATCTTTGCCTTTAATGGAAAATAACTGTGCATGATTCCTGTGCAGCATCTCTGTCGGCACGTTTTAAACATGGAGGGGTTAGATCTGAGAGCCGGTGGGTGTTTTGTTTTTCTCTTTTCCTTCTTTTATTTAACCAGATTGTGCGTTTACAGATGCACAATTAGGTGTTGCCACTCCAGAACAAAGACGGGGCGTGAATATGAGAAAAAATTAATAAACAGAATGGATAAAAACAACAACAATGAGGTGTAATGTAATGTATTGTTATATATGTGTGTGTGTGTAGAAAGAAGGGAAAAGGAAGGAGGAAAAGAGAGAGAAAGAGAGAAAGAAAGCTAAAGAAAAGAAACAAACAGGAGTTTTAATTCTGGTGGGTGTTGGAGGAATGTGTAGCCTGTTTACACAGTTTATCTATCCTGCTCTGTGGACTAATGGTCGACTGAGTCACTTGACTAACTAATTACTGTTTGATTGTTATATGAGAAAGTGGCATCATAAGTTTCATTCAGTCTATCCCAGAAAAACGACCATCAAAGTGCAATAATTGTACCCCACACAGTCACAGGACACATTACCAGCTTCAATGATGGGGAAAGTTTCACAGCAACTTTAGCTCTAACTTCCCACAATCCTGCTGTGCAGAAGAACTGACTTGGGGCTGAAACGACCAACTGCGCTCGGTGGCCAAACAAATCACTGCTCACACACCGGCAGGTATGACTTTGCCGCCTCCGAATTCAGCGCAGCACAGCAAGAATTCATTAGCGCTGGACTTAATGGAGAATGTTGCTAGGAAACTGGGTAGTGATGTACCTTTAGCTGATGTGATGAGGCAGCAATAAATACCTGTTTACCTGATGTGGTGCAGTTGGTGGACCTGACGCTCAGTGCCGTGGCCAACTTGTGTTTTATAGTCAGAGGAAGCTCAGTGGGATGCTTGTCCTCCTGCTCTACACCTCCTTATTAGATACACACCCACATGTACGCACGCAGCAGACGCTGAGTCATATGGGTGTGACTGATGTGTATATACTGAATGAAGTTGTAGCTCTGAGGACAAAACAATCTGCAGTAATTTCAATGCAGATTGTGGCTGCACTCTGACCAGTACCACACACTGGTTTGTTTTTACACTAGGTTTTGCATCCAAAGTTCAACTAAATTCAACCCCCAACTATGCTGAATCCCAACACATGCATCCAAAGGCATTCAGGTGTTGTATTGCAGTCTGTTTCCACAATCATTTGTGTTTCTCCTAGCCTTATTTGTGACCTTGACACTCTGTACGTTACTCCACAACTTGATCATATGACTTTTCAGCACAAACCTTAGGAAATATAAACAGCATTTTTTTTAACCAGTTATTTGACAGCAAATTGCATCTCCAGAGGTATTGCTGTGATCTCACAGGCATCAACTATCGACCCGGGGCGGAAACCCGACATTTAAATACAGTATTTTTACAGAATGTGTGCTGACAAATCGTTCAAGAGAAAAGCAAGGTCATGTTTGTCGTGCTGTTGCTGATAAAAAGCTGAGAGGTCCATTCTCAGTGTATGTGCACTGGTGGCTTCAGGTTTCTACATCACATTTGTATAAGCAGCATACTGGACCAGCACTGACTTGCAGACTATCTGTGATGTCACAATGAATGCTTGTAAGCCCTGTCCCTTAAGATCAGATTGCATTGAGCACAGAGAAACTTTCCACTGTCAGCAGATGAATGTGAAAACATCAGCGTCAAACACATACATTCTGCACAGTGAAGCTCAAACACCCGACTGTAGGAACAAGTAGAAGAACAATATTTACTGGAGGGTGACTTTAATGGCACATGTCAGTTTGTGAGCCTAGGCTGAGGGAGTTCCTCAAATCACGATAACAATGTCTATTAAAGAGGACAGAAGAGAATATAGCCACAGCCACACACACAGTTTATATAACATATTAGGAACTTCTTCCTGATGCTGTTTTTCTCACTTCCCTTTAGTTCAAACGCAAATCTCTGCCGCTCAAAGCCTAAAAACGACTTCTCTGACTCATCTGATCTGCATCTTTTCATTTAGTTTAAAGGCTTTTAGCTTGATTTCCCCAGTGGACTTCATAAAGACAACTCGTCAGTCCCTGTGCACTGTACTGCTCCTGATGTGTGTAAGTGTGCAGTAAGCTGTCAACATGACTCTGCATCAATGTCACCCAGACAAAGACTCCAACATTTACTGCACCGGGCCATTAAGGGATTCTGACTGAGTGGGCGGTGACATGTGTTCCTCTTACTTTCAGAAATGAGAAACGGATTCAAGGCGCCCACCGTTCTCTGTGTTCAGATCATGAATAAATAAGCCGCTGAGCGTGACACATTCCTCCGAACACATCCACAGAAACCCATCCTGAGGCCGACTGCAGCCGAGCGTCTCTCACTCAGACTGGTCTGAATGAAGAGCAAAGTCATTTAGGTTATTTTTAGTGCGGCGCAGTAGCTTTGAGTGGAATGCTAATTAGCAGTACTTACTTGTTTGTCTGTATTTACAGTCTAACTGGAACCATCTGCCTATCCCTTGTGGACCTACATGATTTGATTTCCGCTATGTTCTTTTTGAGTGAAATGAAATGATATTTGCGAGGTCGCAGTTAGTTTGTTTCTCTGGTTCATCTGTAACAGGTTTAAGTGTTATCTTCCATACCGTATACTGAAAACAGAAACTGCTGGAAGTTTCCCTCAGTTACTGAACAAATAAGGAAAATATAGCAAGTGCCAGAGATTGCCTCTGTGCTGGCAGTGATGGATGCAGTAAGCCTTCAGGGAGGAGATGGACAACAGCTGGGGTCGGATGACAATTTACTACCACTGAAGCTACATACCAACAGTTAGAGTTGCTATAATAGATGTTTTGTCTATAATAATGTATCAAATGATAATGTGAAAACAGTGTGACAATGTAAAGGGGGTCTCTGGTAGTGATGAACCTACACAGAGGTAACTGCTGAATCTGCAGCTCCCCTCGCCTTCATGGAGCTTTATTGTGAGTTTCAGCTCATTGTTTGGCTGTCCGGTTACTTTTACTGTTTTGGTTCACTCGCACCGCCCTCATATCGTCGTTAGTTATAATTATAACATTAGCATGCTAACTACTCTATATTCTAATCATCAGCATATTCGTATGAGTTTTTAACACTGCCTTAGACTCAGTCGCCACAATATGCACTCAAATCTGCATCTCTGTGGCGTTGTTTGGAGCAATGCAAGTTTAATGAAACAAATGGCCAACTGTACTGAAGAGAGGGATAAAAGCTTCCACCAATTCTCTACTTCATGCTGTTTGATGAAACATAAATGCCTTCTTGAGTCCACACAGATCCTGTAGTGTTTGATTCGAGGAATAAAAAGAGTCTTACTCTCCAGGAAGTCGAGCTGACAGGCGGGGGCGTTGAGGCTCATGAAGTTGAAGCCACGGGTGGGCCGGCAGCGGCCTCTCTTAGCCGCTGACTCCCCAGGGGTCAAACCCTGCAACATGCTGCTCTTCCCGGCCCCGTCCAGACCTAGGACCAGGACCTGACGCTTTCCACGCTCTTCTTCCTCCTGCAGGCAAAGAACAAAGAAGATCAAAGTCCAGAAATGTTCAGAAATGCAGACTGGAGGCAAAAATTTAAAACGCATAATTTATTCAACACTGAACGAGGTTATTTGCTCAGTTTTAAGACTAGTGAGGTTATATAATTAATAGTGTAAATGTTTTGACGTACATTATGTACTATCAACCAAAGCATAATCCGAACACAATGGAACATAAAGTTTGGGTTGTCTGAAATTAAAAGATGGCTTTAGGAGATATAATAGACTCTTCTGGTCACCATCATTCCCGTAAGCCTCAGCTGTACTTTGTATTTATAGAGTACTCCTCCTGGTTCCTTCGACCAAAAAAACAGTGGGATTTTTCCATTGCATTTTGGAGTCTCTGTGGTGAACAAAAGTTTACCACTGAATACCACCGAAAGTTAACGTTAGTCTATAAACGAACTACACCAAGGTTGCATTACTTCAACATCCAACTTGTAATTAAATCCTGTAACACAAATCAGTTGAAAAGTTTAAGTTAGAATAGTTAGCAGGAGTCTGAGTGTAAGCACAACAAGGCTGTAAAGGTGGACTTGTGAATAGATAAGTCTCCATGTTTGGCGTGCTAATGTTTAATGTCACCAACAACCTCTGTCTTATTTAGCCATGTTTTAGCAAAAAGCTTAATCTCTTAAACTTGTGTTGACCACAGACCTTATTTCAGGCATCTAATCAAAAACCCATTCAATAAACCTGTTGACTCCGGGGCGAGGGCACCGAATTTTCATGCCAACCTCATAACATCTGAGAGACATTTACACAGACGATATGTTGGTGTATTCGCATAAATACATCTATCAATGTATGCAGACGAATACTGAACACAATAACCACAGATTTCAGGACTGCCATTTGAATATGGGACCTATAAGAAAAGTGGACGATTGTACTTGGTGCTGAAACGATCACCACAACAATATTGATAATATTTGAAGACATTCTCTGGTTTCTGCCTCTCAAATGTGAAGATTTACTGTTTTTCTCTGTTTTATACCATTGTAAATTGAATATACTTGTTTTGGTCAAACAAACTAATGTGAACATATCACTGTGGCCTCTGCGATGGGCAAGTTCTACCATTTCATAAATAACAACCATTATTTGTAACGTGATAGTATAAAACCAGATTCAGGTACTTTTCACAGATTAGCAAGCACCAATTATCTATCAGCTTCATGATTAGATCATCATTATGTATCAAACTGAATGCTGTGGACATTTGGGATTTGACCCTCGGTGTGCACTTCAAAAGACAGAAAAATGAGACAGCTACCGCAAACCTCCAGAGGGCGAACTCATGATATTCTCCTTTAATAAAAGGCGGAGCGCCATCATAGCAATCCTCTTTATTACATTATTACATATTTAGGTCAGATTTGAGAGAACGTTCAGAGATGGAGAGTATTTGTCTTCCACTGAGGCGCCTGCATCTGTAAAAAGACAAGCAGCTGACACAGTAAAGGTTAGCAGCTGGATTCAAACCTCCATGCTCTCTTTGCACCTGCAACACCACAATCCCTCTGAGACCCTGCGCACGTCACTCATCTCCTTTTAAAAGTCACACAGGTTTAGTCTTTATTCATGCCGTGTGCTGATGTGCGGCTGCGGTTCTGTGGAGGTTAATTAGCAATTCATATCAGCCCTTTTGGAGATGCCGTTTTAGCTTTCTTATTGAAAATATCACACTTTACGTCCCTTTGTTGATGGATGATCAAGGCTTCAAGATCATTTTCTGAAGTATACGCTCAGACTCAGCACTAATTAGATTCCTTGACACATAAACCTGCACCACAGCTGCCCTACCCTGCAATTGTCAGAAAGAGGTGTGATGAAGAATTTAAGATATTTTGGTGATGAATTCAGTTTTGTTTGATATGGTTCTGGCTGTAATCACTGACTGGTGTTGCTGGGTAAAAGTATCATCAGATAAACACAGTTGCTCTGCCGCCTGTATTCCTCGCTTATGCAGTCCGTTGGGAAACAAACCTCAAACCCTGACAGCGTCAAGCAGCTCTGTAGCTGCTGAGGCTGCAGAGCTTGTACCACTTTCTCTTCGTTTTTTACCGCATTATCAGCACAGACTTTGTCCAAAGTGATCAATTCTTGCATACTTGCTCCAGTCATTGGATTGGATCTCCGAGATTATACAGGAGATGTTTGTCCAAGGATTATGACAACAAAACATTCACAGTTTTCTTTTATAGTTCTGTGACATTTCTTTGGTTAATAAATGGATCTGACATTTTTCAAATCAAGCCAGCACATTGCCCATTTATCTCCTGCTCCCTTTGTCAGTTTAAATATTTGACTGACTTCTTCTTTTAGATTTTAAACTCAGTTATGTCGGTTTGGCCATTGTTTATAAAAAGGCAGTGATACTGTATTGATTTCTTTTTCTTTTTTTTTTCCACGGGGGAGAAAAAAACCCCAGATCAACTGCTGGATCTGACAGGAATTTAACGTCTTGCTTAAGGACACTTGAGCAACACACTGGCTTTTAAACACAGAAGCATTAAAGCCAGCTCGCCTGCAGCACTAAATAGTAGAGAGTACAGAACAGAGAGGTGATGGAAACTATGATTCTCTAACATCACTGTCACATACCATCAGTCCCGGAGTTCTTCTGTGATTAAATGTTGTGATTTACCATGTCTGTTTCTACTTCAGTTAATAAATTGCTACATTACCCTGAAGGCCTTTCATCCACCCACAGATAACCAGCTTGAGCTTGCTGCATTCAGCGGTAGGTGTTTGAGCAGCAGGAGCGATAGCGCTAACGTGGTATTAGAGTCTTTTTTTAAGTTACACTCAAGAGTTTACTGAGTGATGGAACAGGCACTAAACGATGGATATCAATCATGTCTCTGTGTTAAGTATGGAGCTGGAGTAAGGATGTGGTTAGCTTAGCATAGCATAGCATAGCATAAAGACTGGAGGCAGGGAAACACTAGCCTGTCTCTGTCCAAAGTCCAAAAATACACCCACAAGCACCTCTTAAAGTTCACTGATTGATTGATGCTGTATCACGTTTGTTTAATCGGTTGCACTACTTTATTTCCTACAGAATAGCAGTGCATTCATCTGCCCAGCACTTCTGTGCAGCATCCGTGGCTGTAGTGCAGACGCTGAGAACAGGTTTCTTTACAGGCACGATGGTACCAAACCAAACAACCACACCGGGAAGGCGAGCCTTCCAAATACTGAACAAAGTCAGTGCACCAACTGTTGTTCGACAAGAAATAGTTCCAGCACCTCCCCTAAAGCCACAAACTGTCATTGGTCAAACAAGATACAACGTGTTAAAAAGTGAGCTTTAGAGGTATTTATGGGTGTATTTTTTGTGGTAGGTGGACTGACTCAGGTTGTGTAATGTCTTTGTAGCTCTTGTGGAAGTCCAACAAACTAACCCTGGTGAGGTCATAGTGATGTCATCGTGGTTATCTCAGCTTGGAGCATAAATTCATTAACAGAAACTGGGAACATGCTGGGAGTGTAAAGATTAAAAGACGTGGGCCCCAGGCAGCAAGGATCAGATAAAAGAAAGATAGATTGCATTATGGGAAGAGTAGGAGCTGTGGTTTTGGAGCTTAACCAACACCAGGGACAAAAAAAAGTCAAGATATCCCGACCTCTTTGATTTTAGTCATTCTTATTCAAATCTGTCTTTTGCAAGTCCTCCAAACTTTATGGCCAAAACAACAGCCACTTATTCTATATCTGGCTTGAAGTATCACCTCTGCTCTCTTTCACTGAATATTAATGTTTTATTTCATAGAAGTGTATTAATCTTTCATGATGTTAGTGGAGGGGGTCTTTGTTTCAGGTGTGATAAAACCCTGACAATGAAAACTGCTATATGAAGAGGTAATCTAAAGACACCATATGGCTATTGCTTAAAAATATCAAAAAACGTGGTTTAAAATGATGAAAACCTTAAAGATTATAGGTTTAAACTCCACTGTAACTGCTGCTGAAGTCTCGCCTTGAAGCCAAGCCATCTACGTTTGTGCATGCAGCTGCAGAAATAACAAAACACAAACATCTAAATGGAGCCAGACAGTGAAGATAGATACTAATAGTTGGTCTGTGGCCTGTGGATGCCGCTTGTACAGTTTACTGAGCCACTGAATCTTTTTCCTCCTGTTTCAGTGGTTGCTCTGTAAATGAGCATGTGCAGCCCTCCCACTTGATGAAACTCCCCGAGGTCAAAAACACGCTGTTTGTCAACTCCCCCACCGCCCTCTGCTTTCCGAAGCCGAAGACGTGATTACAATACATTTCGGTAGACTCCCGGGATGAGAACATTTACATCCCCGCTGCAGCGAGCGGTTGGCAGACACTGACAACATTATCCTCTAAAGACAGGCTGAGCCAGATAAAGCAGGCTAAGCCTATTACAGGCTGCTGCTGATTGAATGTAGGAAACAAGATTAGAGACATGCAAATAGATTTTATTAAGAGATTCCGGCTGCAGCTGTAGTGCTCCATTGAAGAATCCTTCATTAAGACCCTCAGTCACCTGGCTGCTTCTGTCTGTCTGCTTTCTGTCTGTCTGCAGGAGACTGAGACTTACACCGCCTCAGATGCCCGACGTGAGGCTGAAAAACACATTAACGTCTTCATCATCTCCTCGTCTGACATCATCATCGGCCTGCTCACACATCTTCACCCTCGTCATCGTCCACGACGACAGCCTCCTCATTAAAGGCCGGTGCCACATGAGCTTCCTTTTGTCATTGTCACCCTCACCGTTAGTATTTTCCTCTTCATCACAACACAGCGGCGTCCTCATCGTCAACGACATCAACGGGACCGTCGTTCATGGCATCTTCACCTTCTTCTTCTCCAACATCATCAACCTGTTTGCTAGATTTTGCTTTGTCGGCCTCATCTTCACCATCGTCGCCATCATCACCTATGTCAACCTCATCTTCACTACTAAAATCTTTCTGTTCATCACGTACCCTCCTCATCATCAGTGGCATCATCCAAACCATCATCTTCATCATCAGTGTCACCAATGCAATCTTCATCGTTATCGACACTGCTACGTCATTTCTTCACATCTTCGTCGTCATCTTCACATTCTTCTTCATCATCAGTCTCCTTGGCACGTTGTCTCCGTCAGTCTTCATCATCACCATCATCATCAGTGTATGATCGTCGTTTCATTTTCATATTCTTCATCACCTCCGTCACCTTTGTCATTATCATCATCCTCCTCCTCATCATCCTCCTCACCATTAAAGCCACTGCTGCCACATCTTCTTTTTCTTCATCACCATCATCATCTGTACCATCAGCTTTATCGTTCTCATCTTCAACTACTAAAATCTCTCTCTTCGTCACGTACCGTCCTCATCATCAAAACCATCATCTTCATCATCAATGACATCCTCATCGATATCAACAATGCTATGTCATTCTTTTCATGTTCTTTGTCATCCTCACGTTCCTCTTCTTCTCTGTCCTCTTTCGTCCTTCACCACCGTCATCGTCAATGATGGCATCACCACCATCATCTTCCTCATCAGTGTCATCAATACCCTCATCATCATCATACTGCTACACCTTGATCATCTTCAAATTCTTCTCCAACACCATCGACCCTTTGTCTTTTTCTTTGCCGTCCTCATCATCACCATCCTCCTCCTCATCACGATCTTCATCTCTACAGTCACCTTTGTCAGTGTCATCATCATCACCATTGACATTATTCTTGTGACATCACCCTCTTCATCATCAAAACCATCAACACCATCCTCATCATCATCCAGTGTCATCATTCTACCTACCATATTCACCATCAACCTCTTCTTCGTCATCATCGCCACCACATTCATCACCATCATCAAATCCACAATCTTCATCATCCATTTCGTATTTCAAATCTTCTTCTTTAAGATCAACTATCATCATCATCTGCAACACTGGCATCAAAAGCATCTTCATCATCACCACCACTGCAATCATTCATGCATTATCTACATCTTCATCATCATTATTCTCACTATTTATATCTTTTTGATCAGTGCCACCATCATCTTCATCATCTCCCTCATTAGCATGTCTGTTAATCATCAAGCAGCATCCTCCTCCTCCTCTTCTTCATCAGCATCATTCTCGCCATTCACATCTTTTGAATATTAACTCCATCACAACCACTGTCATGCATTCACCAAGCATCCTACCCATCCCATCTTCATCCTCCTCCTCCTCCTCATCACCTCAGTTATATTAATATAATTATATTAATTCTGCAGTGATTTCTTCATTCAGTTTGTCACATGTAATAAATGTTTCATATGTAATATCAGTCTCTTCCCGTCCAAGTTAGATAGTTATGATAATTATGATTATTAAAACAACGTGTATTTATTAATGCAAAACAATGATTAACCCTCTCTCGCTCACCTCTTTGATCGTGCAGTACTCTGCCTGTGGTGACCATATTCGCCTCTTGTAGAAGAAGTTCAAGGCGATGAAGAGAGCGGAGCCCAGGGCAGCCACGGCGGCGGTCAGGGCGATGGAGATGTGCCGGAGGAGAACCATATGTGGAGGGCACCGATCGGCGACTGGAACCGGAGAGCCTGGAGCGGGTTTCACTGCTTCCTACACTCCGACAGTGTTCAGACCAACTGCAGCTCCCTCTTCCTTCCTCTTGCTCTGCTGCCGCTGCTCGCTCTACATGTGACCGAGCTCGCTCCGCTTGTTTTTGTTTCGAGACGCTCAAGAAGGGAAATGCTGCGTTCAGGTGCTGCTTGTAAAGTGCGCCGCTCATCTGGAAAGGCTGCTTCTAGCATATTCAGATGCGTGTGTCAGTGTTGGAGGAAGTATTCAGATCTTTTACTCAAGTAGAAGTACAAATACCACTCTGTGAAAGTACTCTATTACAAGTAAAAATCGTAGTATGTAGGTTTTATCAGCAACATTTATTTACAGTAGCCTTTCAAAGCACTCAGTAAAATGGTCCCTCTCAGTGTTTTATTATTATATGTGATGTTTTTGGATTAATATTAAAGCTGCATTATTGTGTATGTTGCATTTTACAGCTGCAGAGCTAATTTAACATACTTTATATACTGTTGGGTAGCTTAATCTACAGCAATGCATCGAATTCTATAAGATCATCATATGTTTAGTAGTGTCACTGTCCAGTGAGAGCAGCGTATTTCTAAAAAAGTCAACTTTTCCTGAGCTCAGAAAAACAGCCCAGATTTCAGCTTTGTGACAATGCACTTACCAGCTAATCCAAGAGGATTTGAAATAGTTTATTCATTCATTTATTCAAGTAGAAGATTTTTTTCCAACCCATAAATGAACACTTCATTCTTCAGTTTATCAGAAAAAATCTAAATCAACAAATGTTTTTTATTGGACAGGAAGGCCATGGAAGAAATGTAATCTGAAAAGTCACTAAAGCTGTCAGAGAAATTTAGTGGTGTATAAATGAGCCTCAAATATTTGCCTCTGAGATATAGTGGAGAAGTAAAAAGTTGCACAACATGGAATTACTCAAGTTAAGTACAAGTACCTCAATTTTGAACTTAATACAGTAGGCTACTTGCTTATTATTGCCATAATCCACCAAAGGCTCTCTTTGAAGGTAAACCTGCACTGAATAAGGACCAAACTGTTGAAGCTGCTCTGTTCATGTTGAACCAGTTACTTTTTGATCAACCTTATTAAATTTTACTCATTACACATTATATATTATAATACATTACATAACCATTTTTTTAATAAAGTGAGTCTGAGAATAAAGTGCATCAGTAAACATGTATAAAGTGGAGACAGTCAGAGAGTCCAAAGGAGTTCAGTGTCTAAGTGCTGTATTATAAGTCCAGAGTGTCCCATGGGAGGCACTGATTTTTGTCCAGGGTTTTCCTCCTCCTCAGTTCAGTGATTATTTATTTAATTACAGTCTTACTGTCTATAATATTCTGACATATGATCATGGCAGATGTTGTTTCCCACAGTTTAAAACAAACAATGCTTATTATGAGCTGTAATAGTTCAGTGAGGTCAGATGGTACCAGGGCTTCTCATGAGTCCAAATTCCCCCAGCAGAAGCCCACCCATCCAGCTATGAAATTATGGACTAGCCACCAACCTAACTCTGTAAAATCATCTTATTGTTCCTTTAAAAATCATTAAATCTGATATTTTATTTATCTTTATTATTTATATTAGCTGTAAAAAAGAAAATCACCCTTCAGTACTGTTTAAATGTTGTCTCAAAGCCATTTACATTGTGATTCTGCCGGAACACATTCAATTATTCAATTTCTTGCCAATAAATAATCAGATTTTAAGATATTTAGTTTGAAATAATACAATGATCATGTTATGTAATAGTAATGTAAGACCCAAAATATCCTGGAAATATTACCAAAGACGTGACCTTGGGTCCTTAACCTGCTGGTGGCCACATCCCAGAGAGGAAGGCAAAATACCAGCTGTGACATCCCTGAAAGGTGACTGTCTGAAGTCTGAGATGGTTCAGTTGTAGCTAGAATGTTTCAGTTTTACAGGGAAGGAAGCAGATATAGAGGACAGCGTTACATTCACGTTAGGCGTATGTTGTAATCTGATTCAGTGAGTAAACAAAAATATGCAAACCTTTGGTTAATTTTCAACATAACAGTACTCTGGAACGTTGGAAAATAAAAAAAAAAAACATTACAGTTAGAGGTTAATTTTGAATTTTGTGGGCTCATTCGCGCCTGAAGAACAAATCTTTGATATCTCATTTCCGACATGACATGAAGGCACCAGGTGCACCCCGCCCGCCGCCGGTTCGCCGGTGAGTAGAGGGATGTCAGCGGCACATCAACAGCTGAAATGTAATATCTATATTTGAAACACAAGAGCTGGATCCCCTTCATCAACTCGCAGGATAAACAGCGTTGAACCGCTGAGTTGTCAGATCACAGTGATGATCGAGTCCATCCATCAGGAGGAGAAGTGCTCCATCTGCAGTCGAGTCCTTTTATAGATTTCTCTTGTGTATTATATTTTAGACAGCTTAAGATACACAGGGAAGGAAGAGAGAGAGAGAGAGAGAGAGAGGATGACACGCAGCTGAGGGCCACAGGTGGGAATCGAGAGCATGAGCGGTGGAGCAAGGACTCCACATGCGGTACCAGCTCTACCAGATGAGCTACCAGAGCACCTGATCACCTGTGGTTACTGACTCGGAGACCATTAGAGCTGCACAGAAAGAGCCACATTCACAGGGTAAAAATACTCAAGTAAAAGGTACATTTAGTATGAAGACTATCAGCAAAATGTACTTATTTGGTGGAGCCGGATTTGCAACTTTATTTCCTGGTAGTTATAGCCAAATAACAATGCACCATTAAAATTTGGTTGATTTTTGTTTGTCAAATCTTAATATAAAAAATAATTGTGTGAAATAAATGTAGTAAAAGTACAATATTTCCTTCTGAGATATCTAGTTGGGTAGAAGTCTACAGAATAGACTCAAGTACTGGAGTAAATGTGGACTACTTACATCCCACAACTGGAAATAAAGTGAATTGATCTATTTGTGAATTAATAGTTTGTAAAACAAAATACTGCAACAAAAATAATAGACAATTAATCAACTCAAGGGAATTGAATGTAGAAGTATGTTCTGTACAGATTAGTTAGACAAAATACAAACACGTTGTGATCAAAACTGGACCTGCACTGACCCAATTGAGCCATCAACAGATTGGTTTTATTTATGGATTTACAGACACAAAAGTACCCAAAAAATGATCCCTGAGTGCTGACAGAGAACAGACTCTCTCACGCAAAGACACTATCATATGAAAGAGGACCTTCTGGTCATTAACTGAGAGGCAATTTACTTGAGTGAATAATCATGCAAAGTGTATCTGATAACACAACCAGAGCGCAGGGCCAATCAGCAACATCCAGAAGTCTAATCAGCAGCAGTTTAGTGGAGTATTAAAGTGCTTCATCTCACTTTGTCCAAATCAGATCAATGGTGTCTGCAAATAACTTTCAGTTCAACATTCATACTTTTTCTTTCAGTGTCCTTCAAATCTACAAGATTCTTCTTGGAATAAAAATCAGATCAGGTTGCTTCCTTTGCCCTTAAATTGGTGTCACCTTCCAAGCAAACGCCGTGGGTTTTTAAATATCGCAACACAGGGTTTTTATCCCTCCAAGTTTCATCCAAATCAGACCAGAGATACCAGAGATGCAGCCTGTAAAACTGAGCTGAAGTCAGTCTTCATCTCTCAGCATGTAGTAATTCAGCACAATGACCTCCAGAGGACGCTGTGGGCTTGAGAGTTTGTTAATACAGAAACATAAAAGTGGGCTGCTGACTATAAAACACAATATACATATATCGGAAAAAGTATGCATATATATATATGTATATAAAAGATGAATGAAGCAGAAACCAAATGAATAAAAAATATCAACAACTGTCTAAAACAACCACAGCCTTAAAAAATAAATACAAAAGATAGATAGGACTAAAAACAACAATAAAAATAAGAAAAATTGACAAAACAAGAAGGACAAAACTTTGATAAGCTTAGGCTATAAGCTGTACAGTGACAATAACAGCCGGATGTATCATTAGGAAAGCTGCAGCCAGTTTATTGAAAATTGAATGAAAAATAAGGTCCATATAAAGACAATAGGAGAGGAGTAGGCAGTAATTATGCATGTCGCTTAGTGAGAACTGCAGAATACTGATGTCGGCTTACAGATGGTAAACAAGAGTTATGATGATAAATGAGAAATAATGTACATTTAGGCCTTCAGCTCATCAACACAACACACACACACACACACACACACACACACACACTGATATATATCAGATATAATCTAAGCAAAAAAACCAAACATTTGAGTCAGGTTGTGTGTTTAAAGCCTTGTGATATTATATATGATATACACGTCACTGTACATACAACAGGAGGAGGGTGCAGTTTGTCATCATTAGGGAAAGCTGCTGCCAGTTTGTTGGATATTTTATTTAAAAAAAGTTCCACATCACTATGAAGACAATAGGAAAGGAATAGGAAAGTAATTATGCTTCCAACTTAGTGAGAACAGCAGAATACTGATGTCAGCTTACAAAAGTGACAATGCAGTGATAAATGAGAAATAATGCACATTTAGGCCTTCAGTTCATCAACACAACACCCACACTGATAGTGCCATCATCATCCATAATCTAAGCAACAACAAAAAAACATGTGAGTCTCATTGTGTGTTTAAAATCTTATGATAGTTAGGATAAAAAAAAAAAAAAAATGTGACCGGAAGTCTTATTTTGCTGGCTGAATTTGTCAACAGTGGCTTTATTGTGAAAGTACACCCGGAAGCCATGTTGAATGAGTAAGGGTAACTTGACAGCGGTCGACCGGCCGAAGTCGTCGGGACTGAGGAAAGACTTTACCGCCGCTGCAGCAGCAGCTCCACCCCCCCACTCCCGTCCGGTTTTTAAAAAGGATAAATTTAACAAAATAACACACAAGTTTCTCGCGGGTTTACCCAACATTTAACGGCCGCGGATTCAGCCGTTTTACTTTCCTTTCTCTCAGCGGTGTTCAGACTGTTGGTTACCCCCGCGGCTGGCGGTTAGCATCGGTTACCGCTGCTAAACATGGTGGCCTGTAGGCAAGAAGAAGAAGAAGAAGAAACGAGCCCAGTTTTGGGGATTTTTGTGAGGAATTTTTTTTAAAGGCACTTGGACGGCTGTGACTGTGAAACACCGCTGCTCCGGACACATTACTACCCTCCTTGTTTTTGTGTTTTTTGTTAGTTTTATCTGGCGGTTGCCGGACTTCGACGTTGAGGGGTTGCCTTTCTGACACAAGCAAGCAGCGGACCAGCACCGTCCGTGTTCTGTGGACCGGGGATAAATTGTTCTTCAGAAGTTGTCACCAGGCCGCCTGAAAGTTATTTTTTTTTTTGGGGGGGGGGGGAAAAAGTAGTAAAAACATGCTTTCACGTGTGGAAAAACGCATCAAATAGCAGCACGGGTTTGTTTTATGACTGTTGTGTTGATATCACGGATGTCTTGACACTCACATAGAGATGAACTGGTGCACAAGTGCTGCTAACTGGAACTATTTTATCCTCTGAGATAGTTTCTAAAAAAAGCCCCCCTTGTTTGAGGGGTTGATTCATTGTTAATCTCTGGATTATTATGGATTATTATTATGGCTTAATCCAAACCACGCCAGGCCTGGAGTATTGGGAATAACTGCTGATATTCTGATGATGATGATGATGATGATGATGACAGAGAAAAGCGATGGTTTCCCTTCGTTATGATTTTGAGTAGAGAGGAGTTAATTACATGGAGACTCGCCTGACATGCCAAGGAAGGAGTTGCCACTACCTGAGGGTTGGGAGGAAGCCAGAGACTTTGATGGCAAAGTGTATTACATTGACCACATTAACCAGTGCACCAGCTGGATCGATCCCAGAGACAGGTAGGAGTGTGTGTGTGTGTGTGTGTGTGTGTGTGAGAGAGAGAGGAGCTAGAGATGTTGAAGATGGGTGACCTTTAACCTCCTGCAGATGATCAAAAAAAATCACCTATCCTGTTAAAATAATAGAAATTTGACTTATGCATAACACTACAAGGGCTGTAGGAGATTGGCAATACTATGCACTTATACAGAGCATATTCATGTGTTTATACTTAACACATCAAAATGAATACATTTTACTCCCCTGTTTATCATCATAACACACACATTTATTGCTTTTATTTTATAAGTCAACTAGAGCCGCAATTATCAGTTGATTAATCGATTAATTGCCAACTATTTTGACAATCCATCATCATTTTTGAGTACATTTTTAAAGAAAAAATGTCCAAATTTTCTGATTTCAGCTCCTCAAATGTGAATATTTTCTAGTCTCTATAGTCCTCTATGCCAGTAAACTGAATATATTTTATTCCATATTCTACCCAAAAAACACATTGGACAGATTGTTGCACCTGTTGTCAGTCCCTCATTGCGATTGGCAGCAGGACCATAGATCCCAATCAGCAGAGACGACATGAGAGCAAGGAGAAATCAAACGTTGCTTGATGTTCAAAAGACTCAAAGGAGGCTTTTGAACAAAAGGAGAATAATTTCTAAAAGGCAGTTATTCATCCTTGCTCTGCTTAATAGCTGGAAATAGTACAGAGAGTGCCAGCAGACAGATGTTTTGGTTCTCCATCAGCATCTTCTATACTGATGAAACTGCAAATTATAATGTTAGTAAACAGACTCTGAGAGTGTGGTAGTGTACATTATGGCCCGGGAGTGACTGGAACAATTAATAGATTATCTCAATAGTTGCAGAAAATAGGTTCAGATAAGGATAAAACTCCAAACACCAAGTAGAGCAGCAGTGATGACGGATTAAGATGCTGAATGATACCCCTCTTACACCACAGACCCACGTTCGGCTCGTTTATCTCACTGAAACCAGTATGACTGTCACTAAACCTGATGACCTGTCACATCCCTTTGTCAAGCTGTTTACACAAGATGTACAAATGGGACATAATGTGAAGCTGTAAACAATGTCACACGAATATTTGCTCTTGGGCTTAGACTACATGCAAATATTCTTGTGACATTACAACGTCTTAGACTGTCTCTGTAATATGTAAATATCAGTGAAGCCTTATCTTTGTCTACATCACAAGTTTATCTACAGACTAGTAATAATTATAATTTGTCTTCTGAAGAATATTGTGAGTCTCTCTTGTTTACAGACAGGTGATTATGAGAACAAGTGATGGTGAAGGAAAAAGTCAATTTTCAAACAAAACTATTTGATGTTAATTATCTTCTCAAATGTGAGAATTTGCTTCCTTACTGTTAGAGCTTTCCCAAACACCATTGTTTGAGCTTCAGAGCTTCAGTAGTAATCAACCACATACCCACCCAACAAACAAACATCTAATAGTCGAATATTTGGGTCCAGCCCTGCTAACTTTATAGTGAGTTGAATATCTTTTGGGGTTTTGGACTGTTGGTCGGACAAAACAAGACATTTGTAGGTGTCGCTTTGGGCTGTAGGAAACTGTGATGGACATCTTTCACTTTTTTAAATAATAACTAAAAGACGAACTAAAGACTAACTGACAGGCAGTAAGTACTGTCAGCTGGTTAATCACTGGACCACCAAGCAACTCATAAAACATGCAGGACTGACAGATAAACAGATACAGCATATGAATACAGAAGCTGTAGGCAAGGGACCAAGATTTTGACATCAGAGGCGTTCTGTTTTCCATTTGTAGTCCGAGTCGTATTGACCAGTCATGTTCGAGCGAGCTTTGGTTGCATGCAGTCCATGTGGAGTGCAAAAGAGGCAGAACACACTGGCTGAATTGCAATCTCTGGCTATCATCTGATAGATTTTTTATTTGTTTTGTTTTTAATTTAGCTGCATTCATTGCTAATCAGAAGACGAAGTCTTAGCTTAGAAATGTAGCCAGCACATATGTGTTTTCCAGATATCTGCTGGCTACACTGGAAGCCCCAAAACATTGGCTGGCGCCCACAGAGGCTGAATCGTCATCAGACGATAGCTGATGGGCTCGAAGATTGAGAAAGTCTGAGGGATGAACAGCAGAATAATGATGAGAGGAAGTCTTAATGAGAACTTGACTTGCCTGCAGAAATGATGTCTGTTTTTTGGAACTACAGTCTGTTTGAATTTGAGTTAGAAATTCGACCTTGAAGCTGGGAGTCCCCGACATCCTTTTAGTGTAAAATGCATAAAGAAGATTTTGGGTTGTGATAAACAAGGTGTTCCTTTTCACAGCGTGCTCTGTTCATAAGTGATGTCTCATTAGCCCTGAAATAGGAGACGGGGAATAAACAGAGGGCAGGACTTTCTCTCTCTTGCTCAAACCATTAGAGGAAGAACGAGCTAGAATTCACAGGAACAACTCTCAAGAGTCGGTACCTTTTAGGAAATATCCCAGGTAATTATTTATACTTTGATTCATATGTGTTTCTCCGCCGGCTTTATTTTGTATGTCCTGTATTAACACATCAATAGGAACATGAATTGACATGTTAAAGCACCATGCCAATAACCCTACCAGTTAGCAACAAATCATGTTTATGTTACCATAGCATAGCATTGTTTTTGGTTTCATGCCTTCCAGCCAGCCAATGGTTTCCGCTCATTTTACTGCAGTGTGATGTAAGAATAAACCTACAGACTTAAATCTCTCTGAGCTATATTGTGAACAGCAAGGGATAACTTCTAACCAACCAGGAAACAAACAATAAGCAGCACACATTAATGCTGGGAAATTTATAATGTAATTTGGTTTTAGGACACCCTAACATTACTATTACAATAAAAATGCAACTTGAACAAATAAATAAAACTGACTAAATGTTGAAATGATGAGTGTGATGGATTACAACATCTCAAACAAGTTTCAAGTGGAACCTCCATATAAAATGTATGGACTGTTTGGAAGTCACACCCACCATAGTGAAATCAATGGAAGCCAGTTGCTTCCCCGGGAACACTATAGTGAAATGGATGAAGGCCTTTCAGCCTTTCTGTCTGCTTTCAGACAATTTGGAGGTGGAGATAACAATCACACCACAACGTCCTTTCAGTAGCTTTTCTGGGGGTTTTCGATCGTATCATGTGATTTTCACTTAAAATAATTTTTAAGGCCTTTTTTGATTTTGCCGTCTGTGTCCGACAGCTTAACAACAACCTGGTTGAGGAGCTTAGGCTGGCAAACCCCCCCAGCTGTCATCCTTTTTAATACTTTATGAAAAAGTCCTGGGATAATTAGTTGGAAACTACTTTGGCTATTGTGTAAAATACACTTGATCAGTTAGTAAGAAGGTGGTTGTAACTCTTAGTCCAAAATATAATCAATTTGACACAAGTTCTGTTGCAATTTTTTTTTATAAATACGTATAAAGTTATATATGTAGTACTGAATAAGTGATAGATTTAGGTAAAGATTTCTCTAAAATGTTCCACATATTTAAAAAATACAGAATACTTAATTTAGTTGGTTAAAGTCGGTCCAAACAAGCCAGATGCACTGATTGGCCATAAAAAAAGATTCCTGAGTTCCTGAGTTATTTTCTTCTTCGCTGTTTTTTCTCCCAGGGTACATCCTGCTCATTTACATTCCTGTAATTAGAAATCAGGTCTGGAGGTGTGAGTTACCTTTTTTTCCCCCTCTCTCTCTTCTAGAAATCCAGCAGTGTAATAGGCTTAGAGTACCAAGCATGCAGCACTACACGACACAGTCCCGCCTGTACAAAAACACAGTGTAGAGGGGAGGGCAGATTTTCACGGGGACTCGTTTTTCATCTTTACCAGTTACTTAAGACCCCTCGGACTTTGACACCAAATCCCTTTAATGGCTTATGTCTGGAATTCTGGAGGCTTAAAGGTTGTTTCTTTTTCTTTTCTGTGTGACGGTTTGGTGTGAGAGAACATGGTAGACTTTTGTTTCTGTATTTGACACATTTTATGTATGTAGTTGATGCTGTTATCCACAGCGACGATGACTCAACACTACAGGCAAACGACCAAGAGTCCCAGTCATTATCCTCTAACAATATTCCTCTGACTTTAGCTGTGCTGTCATGTGAATTCCTCTCAGGGCCGTTAACTCTAGTTTTACATATGTGGCAAAATGACTCCCATAAAAATATCATGAAATTATAAAATTGATCTGCTCACGTAGGTTAGATTATTTATTTACTTTTTGCATACTTTTATATCAAAACAGGACCAATGGTCTCACGTTTTGTGTTTTATCTAATGACAACAATCTAAAGCACACATTTCTCATGAGATAAGAATGTGTCATGATACCAGAATTAAAATTTTATTGTGTCTGTTCGTGTCACACTGGTACTATGATGCTGGACTGTCTTAGATTAATCTTTGCACTGTCTGCATTGCGGTTGGCTAATAATATGTTTTTTGATTAATAAGTTAATTGCGTAGTTTACAAAAAGCCCCAAAAATATCTGGAGCCAACAAACATTTGGTAACCTGTTCAGTTGAATTTCCAGAAAATATACTGTATCATCCATATCCATATTGCACACTGATAGTCTGCATATTGGATCCTCTCTGATGTGATGTTTAGTCATACTCATGCGTTGCTGTAATTGTCTCATTGTTGTCTTTCAGTCCAGCCACTGATATATTCAGATGTCAGTCACCTGTGCTGTGTACCAATGTGACATTCTGTTCAGGTCATTGTGTTTTATATGGCAGCAACTCTAGTTTAAATTTCAGACCTGATCATTGTGCCACGAATCATCAATAGTGGCACACAGTGAACTGTCATGGAATTTAAGCAAACAAAGTGAAATGATAAATATAATAAGAGATGTTGCTGTCTAAACAGTGACAGGTGCAATTAGAGACTCTCTCTCCTTTTAGTGAAACCTCTCTGGTTGCTTTACACCTAGGC